CATAATTTTGTCAACTACTTCATTAATCAGGTCACTGATTAATGGAATACTTTGAGGTATGTGGAGTAGAAGAAGAACAAAAGATGGAGTGTGTAACAGCTGAACATTTTGGATGAGTTTAACAAAATGATTTTCCCAATTTGATGGTGATTAAAACAGTGAATTTACCATACAGAAACTGGCCAGCAGGGGGAGGTGTCCTGTGTAAGTTAGGGTCTCAGGTCTGAAATGATATTTTGTGTGAGTTCTTGCTTCAAACTACGATTATATTTTAAAAATAAATTATTTGAAATTCTCATTAAATTCATCTTGTTTGTAAATGTTTTTTTTTTAAATGACGCGCCATCATTTTGGATGTACTCCAACATGAATGTCAAATTAATGGCAGATTGGCTGAAATATAGAGTGTGCAGACCCCAAAGAGTATGAGGAAGTATTACTGGGGAATAGTGTGGATAATTTTTTCCAGATTTTAATATACTGTTTGTTTGGGTTTTTTTGCCTTCTTTTGTTCGTCTGTCTGTAAAAACAAGAGTTGAACTGTGAAGTTCACTCATTGACAACACTTTTGAGTTGGAGACAACCAGTGGTGATCCGGGCGATAGGATCGTTTTTAAAAGTGATTACTGAGATTTAGACCTGACATTTAAAAATAATAATAATACAAATCACCAGGACTGTATGTTGGTAAACTGCACTGCAGTTTTGAAGACGTTTTCTCTATTCACAATAATCTCATCATGTTAATTCATCACTGTCTTTTTTTCTCATTTTATATTATAATAATAAAAGAAAAGATTTACTGGTGAATGTTGACACTTGGTCCTGCTGGCAAAACTTCTCTGAGAATTTTTTTTAATTTGGCCAGAGTTGAATATAAACACAAGACAAAGAGGGAGATGGATAAAACATTTTCACAGAACAGTAACTGACGTAACTGATTTTGATACTAATACTAATACAAATTATTCAGAACCCAGAATCTAGATGTACTTGTATTAAAGTTTATTTTAATACTTTTTTATAAGATCATTAAAGGTTTTAAGCAAAATTTTTAATTTACTAAAATAGCAAACCTGAGTTGTACCACAGGTGGGCAGTAGAAAATATTTAGTAAAAAATAATTATTATTTGAACATGATCCACCGTGCACAACTTTAATGTACACATGCACTTTTATCAACTAATATGTCTGATCGTCACAAATGAGTGCGAGCTGACACGTGCACACACAGCAGAGCTTTGGCACCAAGACAACAGAAGGAATGACAGTGTACAGAACCTCCTCATCTGCAAGAAAGGCACAACTAAAAAATGATCATGTGTGTGTGGCTGTGGGTGTATGATGGAATGGAAGATGGATGCGTAATCATAAACAAACAAACAAAAAAAAATTTCAATCACTCTCTCACTCCAGTCATGTCCAATCACTACGTTCCAGCCATAGGTGATTCATCAATTTACATATATATAGATTTAAATCTATAAAAAAATGAAAACAAAATTATTTCATTCATCTTTTTACAGTGGGTAGATGGAAGCACTCTACCCATAAGCCTCCTCTTCTGTGGAGCCCTCCTGGGTTTCACTGCCACCTGCGGACCCGACCAATGAGAAGAGAGCTTGGAATGAGTAATGGTGGGACGCCAAACACACACACACACACACACACACATACACACACACACACACACAAACCCACACACACACGGTGACAGAAATATGTTCTAAGGTCGTCAATCCAAATAATATTCATATAAAATATGCAGAAAATCAGCACAGAGATTATTGCTTTTCATAATGAGAAGATTATGATTGTGTGTGTGTGTTGCTGTTGCTGCTGCAGACTATAACTGACTAACCTCATGCACATGAAATAAAGCCCTAACAGTAGTTCTCAATGGTATCGAAGAATGACATGGATAGAGGAAAATCTGGACACACACAAGGAGGACAGAGGAGACGTGGACAGGAGCATGCGAGGAGGAAGAAAAGAGAGAGAGAAAAAAAAGAAAAGAGTTTTAGTTCAGCAGAAGACAGGGAGAAAAACACATTAAAAAACAAACCCATACAGTAATATATAAGAAATGGGTTTAGCTTCAACCAGACCTCCAGACCTTTGTTTTCATTTGTTTAGGGTCACATGGTAAAGATCAACACATCAGAGGCCCAGATATCTGTGGCACAGCTCATACATCTACTGATGTGTGTCTACAGTTCAGGCAGAGTGGTCTGGAAAAAAAATACTTTTATATTAATATTAATAATAGCTTTAAGTAACAACCACACTCCCTGTCTCCCTCTGGTGGCCTATTTGCAAGGCTCCTGTTTTGGATAACTTAACTTTTACGCTTACAAAGTGATGTCCATTTCTTACATATGGTCTGTGGTAGAAGCGGTGTAAAAAGACGGCGTCAGACGGAGCTTGGAGCGTTGTTACCTTGTGTGGTGTTTCTGTCGTTGAGAAGTTTCGTCTGACTGTTGGGCAGGATCTTAATCT